AATCTTCAAATGTAATGTCAATCGACATCTTCTGCTGCCTTGACCTTGAACCCTGTTCTTCTCTTTATCCTTTTCCCAAACACTCCTCTTTACTCTTACTCTCACCCTCTGTAACCCCTTGCGGGCTAGTGACACTCCCGCCTTCCTTGGGGTGGTATGCTTAAAAAAAGGGGGGGGGGTTGGGATTAAAAAAATATCGTTTTTACCATGAAGCGTGCAGATTATCAACCGGGACCTTCAGGGAAGCAATCAGGAGACGAAACATGTGAGAATAGAACTATATACAGCGCAGGAAGTAAATGAGATGCTTTTTGGCTCAAGAGCTCAGGGAGAAGGGGGTTATAACTGTTCAGGGACGCAGGGTTCAAAGGGTTAATAAATAAACGGAACGTCTACTAAAAATAACGTTTACATTAAGAAACTTTTGCAACGAATACCAAAAATTTGGGCTGCAGTAATCAAGGCCAAAGGAGGATATTTTGACGAGAGCAACATTTAAAAAATTAAATGCTTTTTTATTCTTTTTTGTCAAATAACATTTCTAATAAAAAAATATCATATATTACTTTTTTTTAACCATGTATAATAATTTTCTCTTATTTAAATTACAAAATAACTATTTAAAAAAAAAAAAAATAAAAAAGATCATCTTCAGGGGCAAATTACAAAGACAAACTTATTATAACCGAGATAATATCTGCATTCCGTTGTGATAGCGATTTTTAAAAACACGCGCGAATGTTATTTTAAAATTATGTCTTGTAGTTATGTATTTTTTTTTTTTTTTGCAAAAGAAGCGTTTCAATATAATGGAGCCGACCGGAAATTAGTAGAAATGTAAAATGGCGTTAGTATATAAATGTTATATGAACTTTAAGACGTTGTTACTATATTCGTAATAAATGTTGTTGAGTGTTGCTTGGTTTTGTTATAGAGGACCTGGAGAATCTGAAGTTTTCCTTTATTATTTTCGTCGTGGAGTATATCGGTTCTATAAGATAAACGGCGCGTCTTTTTGAATAGTTGTTGTGGATTCCGAGATGAAATCCGGTCTCCAATGAATGACAAACGCAGGAATGAAATATAACAAATAAATGTATTTACACCATAATACAATTGGTAATACGGTTAGTAGATCCAGAAACGCGGTTAGTAGCAATAATAATATATATACACGGTCTGGTAAATTCAGTCTTGAAGTAGGACTTCCTTAGAGTCTACGTGCTCGCAACTGTGACTCCTACAAGCGGTTACCTCACACTATTACTCTACCTCGAACTCAATCCCAATCTCTCACTGTGTACACTGACTTACTCTGACTCTGGGTATTTACAGTCAGCAGTCCAAGTACTCACTGGTCGAGTCCACTTGTATGAAAAAGGGGTGGACCCCATAACAATATGGATATCCATTAAAAATAACGTCTAAAGTGATAAAATCTGTCTGATTAATAAATAGAATACTTTTTTTTAGAAAATTGCTTTGTTTGCATATGAAACTGGGCAAAAATGTAATATTTTGAATAGTCTGACATGAGGAATTTAAATTAAAGGCATTTTTTGGCCTTGCCTGATTACCTTTCTCCAAAAGTCAGCCTGTTAGGGCACGGCTGTTCTAACGACGGTGGCCTTTGCCTACACGGACGCTGGTTCGTATCCTATCAGAGAATCCTTATTTTACTTTAATAAGATTTCTCAAATATTCAAGCCGATAGATGAAAAATAAATATAGTTCTTTAATTAATGAACGGGGCGTCTACTCATATACGAGTATCCACTAAAAAACGTTTAAGGTGATTAAACATGTCGGATGAATAAATAAAAAAAATTATTTATTTAGAAATAAAATTAATTTCGTTTGAGCTCTCTGGGGAGGAAGTGTGGGTTTGTAAACAGTGACTATTATGGCTGATATAGCGAGACTCTTCGGCAAAAGCGAATTGAGTCCCGTGTGTTTTTTCTAAAAGTAAATATGCTAAGATTCACTTTCATCCCTGCCGACGGCTTAGTGGTAGAATCTCCGACTGACGCCAATTCAGTCGGGTTTCGATCCTAGCTAGAGGCAACCGGACGTCTAGCCACACTGAAAAGCTGCGAAACTGTCTGTCTGTGGTTGAAATTATATATATATATATATATATATATATATATATAGAGAGAGAGAGAGAGAGAGAGATGCAATCAAATCACGCTTGCCAACACTGGGTACTGTAAGTTAAAAATGCCCACATACATGTGGGACTAGCAACCTTATTTTCTAGGGAAGCCGCAGTTGAAACGACTACTGTTGTCTAAATCTGTGTCTTCATATTCTTCAGTGTATTCTAGTGGCCTAAGTGCAAGAGGGATATATATATATAGTTTCGTTGATGTGAGTTTGTGATACTAGGTTTCAGGCCCTTTGCGATCGTTTGTCGAACGATCGTAAAGAGTGTGAAACCCAGGGTCACAAACTCACATCAACGCAACTAAAAATGTTAGCTCTATCGCTTATATTAAGCGCTTCCTAATAATTACTGCGCATATATAATATGTAAATAATATATATAAAAATTTCATATATATATATATACATATACATACATACATACACGTATACAGTGGGTAGAAAAAGTATTTAACACATTGGTTTTTCTTACATATCTCAAAAAATAACAGATCAATTTCAACGAAACTTACAGGGAATAGTTAAACGAACATTGTCAATCAAAACATAGAAGGAAAATTTAAAACCACTGTTTTGAGAAACATTTATTAACAATAAATAAAATAACCCATATGCAAAAGTATTTAACACACTTTACTAATATTTAGTACAGTAGCCTCTGTTATGCTTCACAGCCTCCAGTCGTTTCCCGTAGTCTTCAACTAGTTTCTTGCAGCTACTTGTTGGTATTTTAACCCATTCTTCTTCACAAATTTTCTTCAATTTGTTTAAATTCGATGGATTTCTTTTATGAACTCGTAACTTCAATACTTTCCACAAATTTTCGATTGGATTTAAATCCGCTGACTGGCTTGGCCATTCCAGGACATTAATGTCATTATCATTAAACCAATTCTTACTTGTTTTAGCAGTATGCTTCGGGTCATTGTCTTGCTGAAATACAAAATCACGACCATGTCTCAAAGATGTTCAAGAGTTGACAAAATTTGAGTGTATTTTGCAGCCTTCATTGTTCCTTCGATGATTTTCATTTTTCCAACTCCATTTGAGGGAAAAACAATCCCACATCATAATATTTCCACCCCCATGTTTGACTGTAGGGATGGTATTAGCTGGCTCGTATTCCGCTCCTTTTTTCCTCCATACATGAGTGCGCATGTTTCGTCCGTAAAGCTCAATTTTCGTTTTGTTTGACCAAATTACTTTCTCCCAGAAATCATTAGATTCAATTTCATATTTCTTTACAAAATTCAAACGGGCTTGTACATGTCGGCGTTTTGATAATGGAGTCTTTCTCGGTGATCTTGAAGTGAGACCTGCACGAGTCAGTGATCTTTTAATTGTATCTTTACTAACTTCAATTCCGGCATTTTTCAAATCATTCTTAATTTCTCGACGAGTTGAAAATGGATTTTTCTTCACAGTACGGGAAATGTATCGCTCATTAGCCTCATTTAAGATACGGGAACAACCATTCCTTTGAATGTTTCCAATAGTATCGAATTTTTTTCCATTTTCGAACAACAGCACCAACTGTATTCACAAGCAAATTCAAATCTTGAGCGATTTTTCTATATCCCTTACCATTTTTGTGATTCTTTATGATCTTCTTGCGCATGTCTTTCGACAATTCTTTTGTTTTCACCATTTTCTTGCAGTAGTGGCAACAGAATAGCTGCAGTGTCTCAGAGCTGTTATCTAATAGCCAGTTGAGTGTCATGCAGTGCTGACATTGGTCGACATATCACATTATATCAATATGGGTAGAAATCATGACGACACGTATCTTCTAGCATAATATTTGCATTGGTTTTAAATACTTTTGCATATGGGTTATGTTACTTATTGTTAATAAATGTTTCTCAAAACAGTGGTTTTAAATTTTCCTTCTATGTTTTGATTGACAATGTTCGTTTAACTATCCCCTGTAAGTTTCGTTGAAATTGATCTGTTATTTTTTGAGATATGTAAGAAAAACCAATGTGTTAAATACTTTTGCTACCCACTGTATATATATATATATATATATATATATATATATATATATATATATATATATATATATATGAAAAGGATGTATTTCTATTTACATGTTACGCACACATATATGTGATTCTCACACGATAGACGAATTAAAATAGTTTATCTTCAAAGCATTTATTGACATTGATCCGAATGCTTTGCCTTGCACTGTGTGTTGCAGTGTTCTTTAGCGGTTCGAGGAATGTTGCAAGGTTGATGGAGAACATTTCGAGCACTTCCGAGATTAAACGTTGTTAAACAAATGTAATTTTAATAAATAAATGTCGATGTAATAAATTAAAAAAAACAAAAAAAAAAACTATAAAGTGTTTACCTACTTCTGGTTCATCCTGCATAGATAGATAGATAGGAACGAGAAGATAGATAGATAGATAGATAGATAGATAGATAGATAGATAGATAGATATGAACAGATTGAGATAGATAGATAGATAGATATGAACAGATTGAGATAGATAGATAGATAGATAGATAGATAGATAGATATGAACAGATTGAGATAGATAGATAGATAGATAGATAGATAGATAGATAGATAGATAGATGGATAGATATGAACAGATTGAAATCGATAGATAGATAGATAGATGGATAGATATGAACAGATTGAAATCGATAGATAGATAGATATGAACAGAGTGAAAAAGATAGATAGATAGATAGATAGATAGATAGATAGATAGATACGATCAGAATGAGATAGATAGATAGTCACACATTATGAAATGGACAAAGTCCGACAATTATTTTAAGACATTTTTTATGTTTATCTATAAAAGGAACGTATAAACATAAAAAATGTCTCAAAATAGATAGATAGATAGATAGATAGATAGATAGATAGATATGGACAGACTGAGATAGATAGATAGATAGATAGATAGATAGATAGATAGATAGATAGATAATGAGCTTACTGAGATAGATAGATAGATAGATAGATAGATAGATAGATAGATAGATAGATAGATAGATAGATATGAACAGAGTGAAAAAGATAGATAGATATGAGCGGAGTGAAAACGATAGATAGATAGATAGATAGATACGATCAGAATGAGATAGATAGATACATAGATAGTCACACATTATGAAATGGACAAAGTCCGACAATTATTTTAAGACATTTTTTATGTTTATCTATAAAAGGAACGTATAAACATAAAAAAATGTCTCAAAATAGATAGATAGATAGATAGATATGAACAGACTGAGATAGATAGATAGATAGATAGATAGATAGATAGATAGATAGATAATGAGCTTACTGAGATAGATAGATAGATAGATAGATAGATAGATAGATAGATAAGAATAAGTCTGAAAATAACAAGCTAGAAAAGCGCCCCCTCTCTGGAAAAGAAAAATAATCTGGAAACATATCTTAACTAGCAGCGCTCATTAACCTAGAACAGAACATCTCAAAGCAGGATTTTTTTTTCAGTCCCAGAACAGAGCGGGAAACAATCCGAAACAATAGCGACACAGATCCATAATGTGAGTATTAGTTTCAGGCGAAATGAACGCCATCTTAGATCTTTGATACGTCTGAAGCCCTGATTCACTTCGTGTGAAATTTATAGCTCTGTTCAAGATGTGGCATTATTGTTCCGCATTGCATATAGATAAACAGATAGATATAACCAGGAGATGGTACGATAAGAACGTACTGATCAATTAGTTAAGTTACCAAACATTTCCAATCTCTGATCATAGTATGAAATCAAGACGGCCATTTATGAAGAACCACATCTTATGATGAATCTTTCTTTCTTTGTGAAAGTCATTTCGCGCCGTTTGGACTGCACCTCGTATATCTACGCTTATTCACGTCTGTCTGTTTATAGACGCGAGATTATTACATATTAGATTTCTGTCTTTTATTACCGCGCCATTTTACAGAGATTGTTTGAAGGTGCTGTCCAATCTTGATGGAATCGATTCATTCCCTCGACTGCACACGCGTTCTTCGTGATTCTCTATTTATTTTACCATTTTTCTCGTTTTTCTCTCTCAGCGATGAAGGTGATTGGACTTCTGCTGAGCGGGAAACGCCATTCTCTCCCACCAGTCTAATTAAATGACACGTCTTCTATCTTTCGTCAAGTCCGTGATCAGACATCGGAACAATTTGTTTTGTTAGCGATGGGAAATATGAGAAAGAAATCGCGTATGGCTTCAAAATTTTATTCGTACAGCAAAACCAAAAAAAAAAACATTTAAAAAATACAGTTAGATACAAACATGGATGTATCTAGCCACGTCTACAAATACATACCTACATACATTTTATATATATATATATATATATATATATATATATATATATATATATATATATATATATATATATATATATATATATTTTGGTGTGTGTGTGTGTATTGGAAATGTGCTGCGTGTGAATTTATACACACACACTAGTATGTGTGTGTGTATGTCTGTGTCTGTGCGTTTTGAGGTACAACAATGGCTTTTTGGATATATGCTTATATGGACATTTTACCTTGTTTTGGTGTCAGGAATCAACTCGAAATTGTGTAAAAGCATTTTTAGGTTGTATCTTGAATTGTACATTTAACATCGTCTAACATAAACTTTAAACTTAATAACTCATAAACAAAGAATTTGCGGACATACGTTTATATTGACTTTTGTCCTTGTTCTAAGAAGCATGTCTCCAAAGTTTGTGAACGCATTTTTGATACACCCTGTATATATTCATATATATTGGTAAACGCAATAGATTGATTGTCAGATAACCAAACAACAACAGAAACTAAAATGTAGTAAACAATAAAGAAAAAAATCTAGAAAAAACAAGAAAAAAAAAACAAAGTAAAAACAAGAAAAGACAGGAAAAAGCAAAAAAAAAATGAAGAAACAAGGAAAAATCAAGAAAAACAAGAAAAAAAAACAAAGAAAACTCAAGAAAAGACAGGAAAAAACAAGAAAAATCAAGAAAAAACAAGTAAAAAACAAAGTAAAACAAGAAAAACAGGAAAATGCAACAAAAAATCAAGAAACAAGGAAAAATCCAATTAAAAAACGATATAAGTAAAAAGGAAATGAAACATAAACTTAGAAAAACAAAGCAACAAACAAAAAACAAAAGACCTACCTACATAGTAACAAACAGTGTTCTGTGCCTAGGTTACTGAGACAAAACATTTACACTTCCCAGCGTTACGACTCAAAAAGGCTGGACCACTAATCAAGTTTCACGTTACCAACAGAACGACTGGTGACATATATATGTTTGTATGCATTTACAGGGTGTGATGGATAAATTGCCGACCTTTCATATTTTTAATTTGGTGTATGAACATTGTTCGTTTTATCTATTTTTTTTTTTGTATTTTGATGACTGCGTAGTATAAAAGGGTCAGTTGGGCACCGTCTGTGAGAAAAACAGCACCATGACGCAATTCACTCTGCCAGAAATTTGAAAACGGCAAGCTGTACGGCTTGACATTTGCGATGGAAGTTCCAATACGAACATTTCAGAGTTTCGGCGTCAATCTGAGGACAGTGCAGAAGATTTGAAGAGAGTTGGATGCGTCTAACGGTGATTGCGAAGGTGTTTGGAGTGATCACTAGTGGTGGCGACGTTATGTCATCATTCATCTTCCTACAGCGCCTACATCAAGAGCTTTGAGTAGGAAGTTCGGCTCAGAGTCAAGAGGGTGGCCGCTAGAAGATTCTATGTCAGACAACAGGACTCTGCACAATGCCATACAAACAAAAGAAACCATGTATGGCCCTTAGAAAATTTCTGCGACCACATTATACCTTACATTTGATCCCCTAACTCTCTAGACAGCAACCCCCTTGATTGAGCGAGAGGCCATCAAAACTCCTTGTAATACCAAAGATGAACAAGGCAAGGATTATGGCAGCATTCACCAACTTGAACAAGAAGACTGCTCAGAATCGTTTCAGTAGATTCCGAAGTCGTCTGGAGACCGTGGTTGAAACCAATGGTGTTTTTTTTTAATAACAAATAATCGACCGGCCGGTCTTTTTCGAGGAGTGGATTCTTGCCTGTCACATCACCCGTTACATCTGAAACTCCACAGACTGTAAAATCCCTTGATTCTTATGTGTGGGGTGCAGTTGAGTGAGAGAACAATAAAATTCCTTGTAACACCAAAGATGAAATGAACGCAAGAATTATTGCAGCATTCAACAACTTAAACAAAGAGACTCTCCAGAAGAGTTGCAGGAGATTCCAAAGTTGTTTATAGGCCGTGGTTGAAGCCAATGGTGATTTTATTGAATAAATTTACTCTTTAGTATTTCAAGATATTTTTGTGTAATTTTGGTAAAATAAGATGTCAGCGTTACTTATTTAGTTTCATTTTTAACTATTGATCAGAAAGCGGTTGTACACAGCTGACAGTTTAGATATTTCTGAACCAGTTTGGAGCTCTGCAACACTGACATGAGCAAGTTAGATTCTGATGAGGCTATTTAAAGAAACAGCAGCCATTCATTTAAAGAGGTTTGGTTAAGTTCAAGCGACTTGTATTTTTCCAGTTTTTGAACGATATGTTCTATATTTTAATAACAATTGTGGATAAAATAACGAAATTAATGTTTTATTTTGCCTTTGTCATTATAACTGGATGCTTGCAGCATGGTAGACAAAATTTTGCATGAATGTTAAAGGCATTACAGTCTAATAATAACAGTAACATTAGTCATATAGTAAAGATAGTAAAATTATTAATAAAAATAATAATAATAAATAATATCACTACTAGCCTTTGTGGACCCCGGACCTTGCTAGACTGTATTAGTCTGGATCAATGTGCTTGAGTAGAAATTTGATTCTAGGCAAACAGGAGTTCATTAATTCACTTCTCTTATTTAACAGATTTGGACTGTTGATAATTTTTAGCATCATTAAATCTTTTGGAAAGACATAAGTTACAACTGTTGACTCTCCCGCTGAAAGCTTTACATTTAGTTACGCATTCACAGATGATATTTGGTTTTTTATTCTCGTTTTTCACTTTCCAGTGTTGTTACTATAGTTGATATTGCTTAATGTCATGTTGTGTTTTCGTTGAGAATCTCATTTAGCGTTGGAGAATGACTGAAGTACTTATGGATTAAAAAAAGGCCTGCCCATTAAACGGCAAATCTATAACCAAATCGTTATTCCATAAAACTGAAATCAAATATGACGATGAGATCAAATTTCAAGTATTTTTTATTTCATTTTTAAGTACTTAAAATTTAGGAAAAAAATATTCACCTCAATCTGATTTTTAAATAATTTTTAGAAATTTTGGCTTTAATGTTACTATAGTCATTACTTATTTTCTGATAATATCGTGTATGGTCGACCATACTTACAAAAATCGTACGTTTATACACTAATGAAAAAAAATCAAAATTATTTTTTAAATATTAATGTTTCTATTAGGCTTTTCCATTTATGATTAGTAAACATAGTTTTCACTTAATAATAATATAAACAATAATCGCTGAATTTAATATAGAATCTTAAATGATTCAAAACTTAATAAAAGTTTCTAATAAAAAATTTAAAAATGAAAACATTTCTTGTAAAAATTCATTATTTATTTAAAAGTATTTTTCTTAAAACAATAGCGTCCTTAATATATCTTTAAAAAGCAATTAAAAGCTTTTCTGTCTAAATAATGTCAGATTTATTGATTTTATTTTTTTATTTTACGAATTAGAGCAGATTTTTAGTAAATGGTGTTTCTGTTTGACAAAAACAAATTGATGATTTAAATTCTCCAAGGGGGCCTGCTTTGAACTAACAACCTGAAATTTTAATTTCCGGAATTTTCATAAAATTAAGTTAATGCGTGTAACAAAAATATTTACCAGGATTTTCCTAAAATAGATAAAATAGTTTCATTTGTGAAAAATCCTGAACATTTCATTAAAATACAACAATTATTTGATTTTTGCAAGAATTTCAAAAACATTGTTTTTTAGCGCAAAAAGACGCTAAATTTACCATACTATTCTCTGGTCCACTGGCTGACGCAATAAAAACTAGATTTTTTAACAAAATTTCAAACATGCGAGAAAGGATTCAAAAATGG